TCATTTCCACATCATGTTTCGTGTCTGTTCACTTGGATTCTTTGAGGATTAAAACCTGGTCAAATTAGAATCACCACATTGCAAGGAAGACGACATAAGGTACATACTGTCCTAAGATTCAAGTTCAATAATTATTATACAAGTGGGTAGGTTGCATCACTATTCGTGCATTTTCTTACGGTTCTGTTCAGGTCAAAACCAACATGGACAACACTATTGCCCGAATGCTTTCATATTCTTTACTTTAAATGAAGTTTGGGGGTTCCAGTGGCTAAGTGAGTAGTGAGTTCAGTCTCAAAAGTAATGTCAAGCAAGTGTCGGTGACACAGGGTTTACATGGGTGGTCACTGCGGTGTGTCGTCGAGCCAGACACGCCAAGCCAGCTAAAAAAGAGATTAAAAAAACAACAAAAACAGGGCGACCAGCAATGGCATGTTTGTGAAATTGTTCTGTATTTGTGTAATGTGTAATTAATATATTATGCGTGTTTCATCCTTGTACTTCATTCAGTTTTTGGTTGTTGTCGTTTTGTTTTGTTTTTCAAGATAATTCTCACACAGGTTAAAGTTTTGACCGGTGCCAGCTTCCAGATATGGGGTGGCTAGCGTTTTGCTACTGGAACGAATTCGGTCGATTAGCCTGACGCTACTTGCCCGTGGGGATTTCTGCGACCTCGGGTGGCTAGCATTCCTCTGCTCACCCGGAGCCGGCCACCTGGATCTAGTACTAGGTAGCTTTATTACGGCCTCGCGGCCTTCCGAGCGACATGAAGCTATAGTATAGAGAGCACCGAGCACACCTCTGTGATTGGCCCAAATATAGCTGACGTATTTCCGCCAAAGATTCTTTACTACACGATCTTTGTTTCCGCCATCTATTTTTCTGTCCTCGGGAACTCGCGCCCGCAACCCGCAACTTACGCGCGCAACTTTTGCCAATAGCGCAACTGTTGCGCAACTGTAGCTAATTTTTGTAGCAACTTTTTGCAACTTTTGCTATTTTCAAATGCAACTTTCTCCGGGGACAGATTTTTGTCGTCTTCCGGGGTTTCCCTCGCAAGTTGACTAGATCTGTCCCCCTTTTTTTTATTCATCGGAATGCCGGTGACAAAGTTATCTACTAAAAGTAAAATTGCAGTTGGTGTTATCAAAGATTCTCTACTATCAAGACGTTTCAATTGCCCTATCGCGCGTCCGAGCGAGACTTGGGCCCGACCTTGATTTAGCGCATGATAGTCCGTGATACGAGTGTAAACAAACGTTTCAGCGCTGAGTTGAAAGCGAGCAATTTTGTCGGCGGACAGAGAGAGAAAGAGAGAGAGAATTAGGGAGGGGGTAAAGAAAGAGAGAGAGAAAAGTGAGAAAGAGAGAGAGAGAGAGAGAGAGAGAGAGAGAGAGAGAGAGAGAGAGAGAGAAAGCTCTTCATCCCATCTTTGCACGACAGCTCTTTCTCACAGACCAAACCCATATACTCGTAGGCCTTACAGCATGACTGCAGACACAGAAGCACAGAGGAAAGGGGCAGGATGGTGGGTCTTCGTTGTATGAAAGGAAAAAGAGAGAGGGACACATACACACAAAGAAAAAGAGAGGGAGCGACATACTTACAGAGAGAGAGAGAGAGAGAGAGAGAGAGAGAGAGAGAGGGAGAGAGAGACGGGGGGAGGGGGAGAAAAGACACACATACAAAAGAGAGAAAGAGGAGAGAGAGAGACAGACAGACAGACAGACAGACAGACAGACAGACAGACAGACAGACAGACAGACAGACAGAAACAGACGCAATGAGAGAGAACACAGTGACACCGACAAAGGTTCTGAACCCACAATGGCTGTCACTGTGCCCCTAAACGGTATCTTCTAGACAAGGGACGTAACAAGAAGAAAGGTTAGTGGAAAGTTAATGCGGATACTTTTAGGAATAGTCATTGTCCTTCCACCACTGGAGAACTGATGCGGGTCGCTCTTCAAACTTGCTCGACTCCTGGCCAAGACCAAGATCAACAAAACAACAGTACGAGTACGAGCCCTTCCCTTCGCGATGATGTTGCTCTTGTTGCTCACATGGAAGCAACCCTACAAACAATGATGGATCGCTCATGAGCAGCAAGCAAGGCCTTCAGCTTGGTCATCAGTATTAAGATCATGTTAAGAAAACAGTCATCCTTACTTAGGAAGGAGCAGAGAAGAGCCATATTTGGCTGAACGACAAGGAACTTGAGACAGTGGACAAGTTCTGTTACCCAAGACCTACCCTCAGCTCTACTACATCACTTAATGATGAGATCAACATCAGGATGTGGGAAGCAGCAACAATGTTTGAAGGCTGACAAAACGAGCATGGCAAAACAAAAGGTTAACCATCAAAACGAAGATCAAGATGTACGAAGAATATGTCCTCCGCACACTCCTTTATGGATCTGAAACATGGTCCTTGTACAGCAGGCAAGAAAAGCCCCTCGACATTTTCCATCTCAGTCTCAGATGCTGCGCGTGTTCTTAGTAATCTTAGGCATTTCGTGGCGGGACAAGGTCTGTCTGTCTGTTTCTCTGATAGTCTCTCTCTGACAGTCTCTCTCTCTCTGACAGTCTCTCACTCTCTCTCTCTCTCTCTCTCTCTCTTTCTCTCTCACCCACTCTCTCTCCCTCT